GTTAGGGAGGCTGAGATTCAACTCAGAAGACCTCGTCTTCACCTTATTCCCCTTGAGCTAAGGACACCCAGTCCTCGCCCAATCACTCTGGTAAGTCTTCAAGGTAGACTTCCAAACCTTCACAGACTTCGTTCACCGGCGATCCACAATGACTCTTGGATGCTCAGAACGCGGCCCCTGACCGGCTGGAGGATCCACAATCCTTAAGTGTAATAAGTCTTCAAATCACACAGACAAGAAGACTTAAGTGATGCCTAACACTCTTTGGCTCTGGGTGGTTAGGGCTTTATCCTCTCAAGGAATTCTCTCTCAAAGGCTTCGAGGTGGGTTGCTCTCAAACGACAAAAGCCGTACTTTAACTCTGAGCAGCCAACCGTTTATGGTTGTAGGGGGTGGGCTATTTATAGCCACTAGGCAACCCGACCTGATTTGTCCAAAATGACCCTGGGGCACTAAGGAACTGACACATGTTCCAACGGTCAGATTTCAAACACACACGACAACTTTACTTGGGCTACAAGCAAAGATGACTTGTCCGACTCTGAACAAGATTCGCTCGCGTAGTCTTCACTCGAAGACATAGGATTTTGGTTAAGCATCACTTCAGTCATTCTGACTGGTTCTCTTGGACCCCACTTAATAGTACGATGGTTCCTATGACTCAATCAAAGAAGAAAAAGAACTATGAAAGATCTAAGTCTTCGCGCTCCATAGTCTTCATGTGATGTCTTCTCTTGTCATAGTCTTCAATGTGAATGTCTTCACATACCACCTTTGACTTCAATGTCTTCATACATTTTTAGGGGTCATCTCTGGTAGGAAAACCGAATCAATGAGGGACTTCTACCTGTGTTATCCTGCAATTCTCACAAACACATTAGTCCCTCAACTAGGTTTGTCGTCAATACTCCAAAACCAACTAGGGGTGGCACTAGATGCACTTACACAGACCACAACCATGGACTTGTTAGCTTTTTTGGTTGGTGAATTTCACATCAAATTCCACCTACGAAATAGAGCTGACAATTATACATGGAGCCTGGTCGCAGTCTATGGGGCTGCCCAAGATGAGAATAAATCCGCTGTCCTTCGGGAATTGATGAACTTGGTAAGGATAACCCCCATCCAATGCTTATTGGAGGCGACTTCAATATCCTTAGATACCAGGAAGAGAAAAATAATGATCGTTTTGACACACACTGGCCTTTCTTATTCAACGATGTAATTGATTGTTTGAATCTTCGAGAAGCTAGTATGTCGGGGCGACAGTTCACTTGGGCCAACAACCGTCCGGTGCCGACATAAGAGAAGCTCGATCGGGTACTCATGGATACCGAATGGGAATTAAAATTCCCTATGGTAACAGTGCGTGCCCTAGAGCGTATTGAGTCACTTTCGGACCATGCACCCATCATTCTTGATTCTAACTCTACTAGCTCTCCCACTGTTCACCGTCCATTCAAATTTGAATTGGGATGGTTTTGCGGATATAGTTAAGAATTTATGGGAGAGGCCTGTCGTTGGTCGCACACCGATTCAAATATGGAACTTCAAAATTGGATCCATGAGGCGGTTCCTAACCGGATGGGCCAAACACACAAGTGGTATATATAAAAAAAAGAAAAGCAACGCCTTTCCACTATTATAGATGACCTCGACAAAATAGCAGAGACTCGCATTTTGTCTCAACAGGAGATTGATATGAAAAATCAATCCAATGAGCAGATTGCACGTCTATTGCGAGAAGAAGAAATCAAGTGGTATCGAAGATCAAGTGCCCAATTCATTTTGGAGGGAGACAACAATACACGATATTTCCAAATGGTCGCCAATGGGCGGCATAGGAAGAAGTGTATTTTTAGCCTCCAACAGGATGAGGGACGGATCGAGGGTCAGGCAGAGCTCAAGCGTTATATAACCAAATACTACAAGTGTCTGTTTGCGGCTCCAGAGGAAGGGAACTTCACTCTAGATGAGACTCGAACAGATGCCATTTCACAAGTCACAGAAGAAGAGAATGATATCCCGACGGCACCTTACTTTCAAGAGGAGGTGCGAGCTGTGGTGTTCCAAATGGAACATAACAAAGCTCCAGGCCCTGATGGTTTCCCCGCAGAGTTCTATCAGAACTTCTGGGATGTCATCAAGACTGACCTAATGGAGTTGTTCAATTTTTTTCATGTCGGCCAACTAGACCTATCTAGGCTTAATTTTGGCGAGATTGTTTTGTTGCCAAAGACTAAGGAGGCTGAAGAGATTCAATAGTTCAGACCGATCTGCCTCCTTAATGTCAGCTTCAAAATCTTCACCAAAGTTGCGACTAATAGGCTCAACGCGGTCGCCGATCATGTTGTTCAGCCATCCCAAACGGCTTTCATGCAAGGACGAAATATACTTGATGGAATAGTAATCCTTCACGAGACCGTCCATGAGATGCACCGGAAGAACATGAGTGGAGTAGTATTTAAAATTGACTTTGAAAAGGCATACGACAAAGTCAAATGGTCATTTCTCCAACAGACCCTAAGAATGAAAGGTTTCTCAGATAAATGGCGCGACTGGGTCCAAAATTTCGTTACTGGAGGTAGTGTGGCTATAAAAGTCAATGATGATGTAGGTCATTACTTCCAGTCGAAAAAGGGATTACGACAGGGTGACCCAGTGTCTCCAATGTTATTTAACATTGTCACTGACATGTTGGCTACTTTGATCAAACGCGCCAAACAAGACGGTCAAATTGCAGGAGTAGTGCCACATCTTGTGGATGGCGGACTCTCTATCTTGCAATATGCCAATGATACAATTCTTTTTATGGAACACGACCTAGATAAGGCTAAAAATATGAAACTATTGCTTTCAGCTTTTGAGCAAATGTCAGGTTTGAAAATTAACTTCCATAAAAGTGAATTGTTCTATTTCGGAGAAGCCAAGGAGGCGGCTGCACAATATGCTGACTTGTTCGGTTGTGCACAAGGACAATTCCTGATTAAATATTTGGGAATTCTGATTCATTATCGGCGTCTCACTAATGCGGAGTGGAAACATGTTGAAGAGCGATTGGAGAAACGGTTGAGCAGTTGGAAAGGCAAGTTGCTCTCCGTTGGAGGGCGACTAGTTTTGATCAATTCTGTTCTCACAAACATGGTTCTCTACATGCTCTCATTTTTCCAAATTCCCAAAGGGGTTCTGCAAAGATTGGATTACTTCAAATTCAGATTCTTTTGGCAAGGAGATAGTGAAAATAAAAAGTATAGGCTAACCAAATGGAGTGTGGTTTGTCGACCAAAAGACCAGGGAGGTTTAGGTGTTCAGGACCTCCAGGTTAAGAATGATGTCTTGCTTAGTAAATGGCTGTTCAAGCTACTTACCGAGGATGGTGTTTGACAAACCCTGTTGTGTAATAAGTATCTAGGCCAAAAAGCGTTGTCCCAGGAATGTTGGAAACCTGGTGACTCACATTTTTGGTCTGGTCTGATGGAGGTAAAAAAACATCTATTCCGCTTTGGATCATTCGCGATAAAGGACGGCTTCGAGATATGTTTTTGGGAGGACATGTGGCTAGAAAACACCACTCTTCAGGAACAGTATCCGGCCTTGTACCGAATTGTACGCGATAAAAATGATACTCTTGCGCACGTGCTCAGCTCCTCCCGGCCGAATGTATCATTTAGGAGGGATTTGATTGGCCTCCGCCTTGCGTCATGGCAACATCTTCTATCCCGTTTGGATTCGGTTAACTTGACACAAGGGAGGGATGTGTTTCGCTAGAATCTCACTACATCTGGGTCCTACACAGTTGACTCTATGTACCGTGCACTCTCGCACTCAGAGGTTCCATTGAATAATAATAAACTAATATGGAAATCAAAGATGCCATTAAAAATAAGATTTTCATGTGGTATCTTCGGAGAGGAGTTGTGCTAACAAAAGACAACCTCGCTCGACACAACTGGCAAGGAAGTAAGAAGTGTAGCTTTTATACTCATGACGAGACAATTAAACACCTCTTCTTTCAGTGCAAGTCCGCGCGTTCTATATAGTCAGTCATCCAAATAGCGTCCAATTTGTATCCACCAACAAGTGTTGCCAGTATATATGGTCACTGCTTGATGGAATACTAAATACTTTTAGTACGCTAATACGGGTGGGAGCGTCTGCCTTATTATGGTCGCTTTGGCTATGTAGAAACGATTGTGTTTTTAATGGCAAAACCTCTTCTTCTATGCAGATTATTTACCGTTGTACGCACTGGCTTCGTATGTGGTCTACGCTACAACGAACGGAGTATCAATCGCTGTTCAAGGCGGTATGTATGTGGTTGGAGCGGGTGGCCAGGGAGTTTTTTACCCAACATGGGTGACAACATAATCTCAGGATTGGTCCACCTCCTCCGTCGACATTGGCATAGTTTTGGACTCATATGGCTTTACTGTTGCCAACTTGTCGTTTTTTATACATACTTTGCTAGACTCTTTGTTAAGGCTATGTGCATCTTACCTATACAGAGGCCGGGTGTCGCTCATTATACTTTGTATCCACTTGATGCTACATTATGAGTTAATAAAAGCGTCCTTTATCGGAAAAGAGGGTGTGGCAAAGCTTAGCTAATCGATCTCACAAGAAAATGCGCTTCATTCAGAATTTCTTCAAATTTGACGACATCACTTCATGAGCAACAACTCATCAAAGGGGCTTCTGTCTTACATATTAGTGCATGCCAAGATGAGGCACGTCTTTCAATACCAAGACCACATGAATGCCCACAACCATTTTGCAGAAAATCACCACTGCGTTGAGAGCAACATGACTCCAGAAACATTTCTGAAAAGTGACTGGCCTCTGGTGACAACATGATCCAAAGAATATTGGACTGCAATTAGCCTCAAACATAACATGTTGCATTTTACCCCTTCATTACTGGAATTTTCTGTTAGATAGAGTACATGAGCAATCGGTTGAGCTTGTCGGCCAGAACAAAATTTCTGAAGAGACGAACAAGCCTATTGAAGGCCATATACAAGTAAAGCCCCTATGCCAGCGATGCCGATAACCAAACTGACTATCACCGTAAGAGGTGGCAGTGCACCGCCAATGGGCTTCCCAGACTCTACGTCGTATCTCGCGAATCGCTTCTTTGGCGCATTGCACTGGGGACAGCCATATTCATCAGGCTGAAAAAAAAAGTATATGAGAAAATCGGTCATAAGTCATCAGGCTGGCAAACTACAAATGAGCACATAAAGCTGATTGGTGCTAATGGAATTAAGGAAAAATATGTCTGATCTTACCTGTTCTTCAAAAGCCTTGGGTAGAAAGTATATGTATCCACAATCAAGGCAGATGTGTGTTGCTCTAGCCTGGAAAATTGAAGGTATATATTGAGTGAGGCCTATAAGAAGTCACACTGTAGCGACCAGGGACTATTTTGATCTTACCTTCTGTGAATCAGATAACTTCCGGCCAAACCGAGGGGGCGCCGGCCTCTTGGGCAGGCGCTTCACATCAATATCACCACCACCTCTGCCATGGAGCAAAATGAGAATCTTGTAAACTCCACCTTACAGGGAAATTCAGTTTCCTGAAATCCTGATATCTGAACAAAAGCTTCGGAGGCAGAAAATGAGGAGAAGAGGTGCATACCTGCTTACTACAAAGTATACAGAGTCTGGCTTTGCTTGGATGGCTGTCTTGGTGAATCCCAGCTTGTCTGCCGGCCACAATTCATCACCGAAGAAGCTGCTTGTGTAGAGCACTTGGTCGCCTGACTTGAGCCCTGCTCTTGCTGCATTCCCTCCGGACTCCACACCCTACCGTGATTAAATCACAAACCAGTCCGTTCCCTTTTAATCCCAGCTGCTAATTGCAATCCTTGTCGATTAAATTTCTATCTAGTTTAATTCAGTTTAACATTCATCATATTGTTTTTGTTTTTTCTTTCCTTTAAATAGTAAAGTATAAATAAAGTATATAAAAATAAGCAGCTAAATTGGGATCCGATATTTTCTGGAAGAGAAGCCAAGGTGGAGGAAAGGAGAGGAGGGCGGCTGGTAGTACTGACGGTGATGACGACGCCGCCGCCGGACTTCTGGCCAAGGGTGAGGCCGAGCGGCTTGTCGACCTCCACCTCGATGTTCTTGGCCGCGCCGGCGGTCTTGGCATTCACCTGCACCAGCCTTCGCCGCGCGCCGCCCCTGCGCAACCATCTGCTGTCCACCAAGGAAACCCCACGGAAGGCAGTTTTCTTCTGCACCATCACAGACGAGAGCATCAACAAGACAACACAAAGGATGAAAGAAACATCAAGAGGGAGAAAAAAAGAGCACCCACGGCTGGTGATGTTGAGAGGATGGAAGGAAGTGACGAGTGCTGAGCCCTGACGACGGAGCAGTGCTTGGATGAGGCCGACACGGAGGAGAGCGTGGCCGCCATGGTTCTGGGCTGGGAGGATGGCTGGTAGTGGTGTGAAGGAAGATGATGCGCGAAATTTGGATGGAGATGCTGTGGCTAAGACAAGAGTGATGTTTGTGGCCTCAAAATCAGGAGCTCGTGTGGAAACCACAGTGAGCATGTGTTAGACTGTATTTACATGTGTATATTGTAACGTTGTATACCACCTCATTATATATATATGTGATAGGTCACCCCTAGAGGGTTGTGCCGGTTCCCCCCAAAGCCTATTGTCTTACATGGTATCACGCTAGGTTACGTCCGCTTCCGCCTAAAAACCCTAAACCGCCACCGCCGCCGCCGCCGCGCCCGCTGTCGCCGTCGCCCGACTGCTATGACGTCCGCCGCTGCGTCCGGCTCCACCGCCACCGGTTTTCTGCCGGCCTCCCTCGCGGCACTTCTCTCGAGGCCGCTGGATGCCGCCTCCCTTCAGGTGCCGATCGGGACACGGAGCGTCGGCTCCCTCTTCGCGCTCCCGCCGGCTGCTACTTCGCCCGGGCAGGCGCTTGTGGCCCATACCGCCGCCGCCCCGTCAACCGCGGCTGTCGTGCCCTCGGCCACTGCGCCGCTGGTGGCGGAGGACGTCGCGCTGGCAGGCTTCGCGGCGTCAACCGCGGCCATCGCGCCCTCTGTCATCGCGCCGGCTGCCCCTCTGACTGTCTCCACGGTGGTCTCACCTCAGCCAGTCTCCTCGATGGGATCGCAGCCGCCGCCGCCGTTTCACTTCGGCCATCTCATCACCATCAAGTTGTCGTCGGACAATTACATCTTCTGGCGCGCGCAGGTTCTTCCGCTTCTTGGGAGTCACTATCTGCTTGGCTATGTCGACGGCTCTCTCCCTTGCCCTCCTGCGCTGGTTGACAGCGTGCACGGTCCGGTCTATAATCCGGCTCACCGTGTCTGGACAGGGCAGGATCAGGCGAACCTCTCCTCCATCCAGGGGTCGCTCTCTCCGGCCGTTGCTGGGCCTGTTGTCTTCGCCAAGACGTCCCACGAGGCATGGACTATTCTTGAGCGCTCGTTTGCGGCACAGTCGCAGGCTCGTGTATCTGGGCTCCGTCGCCAACTTGGGGAGTGTCAGAAGCTTGACTCCACCGCCACTGAGTTCTACAACAAAGTCAAGAGTCTCGCCGACACGCTGGCCTCCATTGGACAGCCCCTCACCGACTCCGAGTTCAACTCGTTTATTGTCAATGGTCTTGATGAGGAGTATGACGCCCTAGTCGAGATCATCAATGAGAGGGGCAACTCCACGCCCATGCCAGCACACGAGGTCTTTTCACGCCTCCTGCTTACTGAGCAACGAGTCGAGACGCATCGATCCAGGGGCAACGGCGCCCTCTCGGCAAACGCCGCCACCAAGGGTGGTCGCTCCTCTGCTTCATCCAGGGCTCCTTCGGGGCAGTCACCACCACCCGCCTCGGCCCCTCCTCCTACTGCGACGCTACCAGGGGCTGGCGGTCCACGTGTGTGCCAGCTTTGTGGTCGCGATGGGCACTGGGCCTCGAAGTGTCACAAGCGCTTCCAGCGGGGTTTTCTTGGTCTCGGCAATGACGGGAAGGATACACGCAACTTTGCTCGTCAGGTCGCCATGGCTGATCGTCCGCCGCCGCAGAAGCCACAGGGACACACTCAGTCCTACTCCATTGATCCCCACTGGTACATGGACTCTGGGGCGACAGAGCACCTGACCAGTGAGATGGGGAAGCTTCACACTCGTGAACCCTACCATGGCTCCGACAAGATCCACACCACCAATGGAGCAGGTATGCACATCTCTCATATTGGTCAAGCATCACTTCTCACTAGACATGCCAATAGGAGTCTTCAACTTCGCAATGTTCTTCGAGTTCCATCTGTGACACGTAATCTTCTTTCAGTTCCTAAACTCACTCGTGATAATAATGTGCTTTGTGAATTTCATCCTTTTGATCTTTTTATTAAGGATCGGGGCACGAGGGACATTCTTCTTAGTGGGCGGCTCTGCCAAGGTCTCTATCGTCTGGAGCATCCTGGCGTCGCTCGCGTCTTCAGTGGAGTTCGGGTATCTCCGTCACAGTGGCATGCTCGTCTTGGTCACCCGGCCACACCTATTGTCCGGCATGTTTTGCGTCATCATGAGCTTCCTAGTGTGTCTAGTAATAAAGATGTAGCAGTGTGTGATGCTTGTCAGCAGGGGAAGAGTCATCAACTTCCTTTT